CATTCTATTTCACAGGTTCTCATCAGCTGCAGACTACCTGAAAATACAATGGTTATATAAATGATAATAACATACTTTAATGCTTGAGTAGTAGTAGAGAAGAGATAAAATTGACGCATCCAAAAATGAATGAAAGCATTACAGTTTTAAGTTTAAGTTACCATCATCAATTTATACACTTTCAAAGTTGAAAAGAGGGGGGAGGGATAAGACAGAAAACAGAAAAATTGATTAACAGAAACAGTGTTAGCTTGTAGATTCACATGGAAACTCCAAAAAACAAAAGCATTTACAGTTTATAAGATTGAGATTTGCTCAGTGAGTTGAGATCAATGAATTAGATGACTAATTGATGTAATCCAATCAAAATTCAGTTACCAAGGTAGTGAGAGGTTAATCACGCCATGTGAACCTACAAGCTAACACTGTTTCTGTTAATCAATTTTTCTGTTTTCTGTCTTATCCCTCCCCCCTCTTTTCAACTTTGAAAGTGTATAAATTGATGATGGTAACTTAAACTTAAAACTGTAATGCTTTCATTCATTTTTGGATGCGTCAATTTTATCTCTTCTCTACTACTACTCAAGCATTAAAGTATGTTATTATCATTTATATAACCATTGTATTTTCAGGTAGTCTGCAGCTGATGAGAACCTGTGAAATAGAATGATATCATTTTATACTGCAAATTTCGTCTTCCTTTCTTTATCGAAATATTCGTTCTTTCTTTATTCAGACTTTGAGGGCACTTCTTCTGTCCACTTGGTGACCGCTATCATCAATCAAAAGATGAGACAAAACAGAACTTCTCATAGATTTTCCTTGACCTTTTCCAGACCACGAAGGTGGATGCTCAGTAATACATGAGTTGAGCTGTCTAGTTGTTCACTCTCTATATCGCTTCCCGAATTATAACAGAACTCATCAGACGACGACAGCTATGCATAAACCTTATAATTTTTCCCTATCGAATCATCTCATCACATGTGATTAAAGTAATAGGACAGGGAAAACACTTTCTAAGTCAAGCATGTGTGTTATGATAACAGTTTTTTTATTTACACAAGACTGATTATTATCATTATTATTATTATTTCACTTACAGTTTTCGCATTAACTTTATGATAAATCCACTGAAACACACACTTAGTGTTGTTTTTCAACTCTATAAAGGTGAGAAATTAATATCATATATAAAATAACTAAAAAACGTAGATTGCCACAGTTAAGCTGAAGCAAAACAAAAAGGAAGAAGAAAGAGGCATCACGAATTTAAGATGTGTAGGGAGAACATTTCATCGCTCTGTTTATCAATGTTATACATTATTTTATGTATCAGCGAATTTCACACTTTCCTGTACTTACATATCCTTTTATTTTTAGGAGGTGATTTGTAAGGATTAGATTTGTTCTTCGAATTAGATCACGGATTGATGTCACGGAATATACACATTATTATTATTGTTCCCTTGGGTTCCTAGTGGAACATAGGGCTTCAACTGCACGCCTCCACTTACATCTGTCTTCTGCTGTACTTTTCACTTGCATCCATGTTAGTCCATACTGTTTCAACTCCTCTTCACACGATCTCCTCCATGTCACTCTTGGAAGTCCCACTCGCCACTTCCGTTTTAGGTTCCACTCGAGGGCCTGACGCGCGATGTCACCCAACACATTGGATCATAGGAATTATTAAAAAGACGGTTGCAGGGAAGAAAATTTTCTTTTCGACGAAGTCGTTAACTTGGCTGTACATTCGTGTATTTATATCAAATGGATGGGAAAGTTCCAGAAAAATTACCGGTTAAGGGTAAAATTTATGAAATTACAATTAGGAATTAAAATGCCCTAATTAACAGGGGGGCGGATAAAACTCAAACAAAGTAGCATCATAATTACTGAGAAGTTTGACATATTGTGCAACTGGGGGTTAGAAATGTAGAAATAACAAAATAGACAGGATGTTTGAATAACAAAATCTAGTGGGATCATAACTAATGTGACGAATAATTGTTTATGACAAAATAAATCGGAAGTTGACAGAAACCGTATGTTTCCTTTGTGACTACATTCAATCCAATAGCATCAATGTCGGTATACCGATCCATTACCTCAAAGAACTGTTACTACGACGCACCTTCAACGTACACTTTAGTTTCAGCAACGAAATATACAGGCAAGTAGATGGAGTAGCAATGGGTCCTCCCCTAGGACCCCTCCTGGCCGACTGCTTTATGACCAACCTAGAAAACAACTCCTTATCATCAACTATCAACGACCTCCATCTGTACAAGAGATACATCGATGATACTTTCATTATTTGTGATCAGAATTGCGATCTAAAAAACCTAATTCAAATCTTCAACGACACCCACCCAAATATCGACTTTACTCTTTAGGCTCAATCCGACGGAATGTTCCACTTCCTCGATGTCCATCTTACAAGAAACGCCAACAACTCTCCTAAAAGGTCCGTATACTAAAAGCCTACATGGGATGGACAATTCATCAACTTTCAAAGCTTCGTGCCCCTAAGCAGAGGGAAGAACCTGATATACGCTCTTCCCTCGAGGATTCGGAAGATAGGCAACGAGGAAGTGATTGATGAAGAACTGAGTATTCTTCGATGAACCCTGATAGAAAACGGTTTTCCACCCAGGTTCATAGACAAGACTCTCTAAGTAAAGTAGACTTTCGAACATGTCCAATCCGTCCCAAAGAAAATACTTATGCTTAGTCAAGAATTCAAAGGTGACAATGAAGGAGAAATCCGTCGCAAACGCCTTTCCAAACTTCTGAGGAAAACATACTTCGCCGCGAGCTTACGACTGATGTTTTCCTGCAAGAAACTGTTCAGCCAGAACGGGAAATATAAGCTGTCACATTGGACCACTTCAACGTGCATATACCAGTTTACTTGTTCTTCCGGAGCTGAGTACATTGGCTGTACCATGCGCCAACTTGAAAAACGCGCTCGTGAACACTATCCAACCTGGCTAATAAAAGGAGGACGAAAACGTGTATATAGTTCAGTGACAGAACATCTAGTCAATTCAGGACATTCAGCGCCATTCGAAAAATCAAGACATCTGGGCACAGCTGAGACACTAGCTATCCAAAATCTCAAACCCACGCTATGTATCCAAAAGAAATACGTCTAACCCTTGTCCCTGCCATGGCTATGATAAACAGGTAATTCTTCTAGTAGTGACTATCCCATTGCTTTTCTTATCCAAACTTCCTGTTTATTCATGTTATTTTTAAGTTGTCTTAATCACTATTTACATTACTATATTTTCAAATTCGAACTTCCTGTTTATTTTGCCATTTTATTATTTCTACATATTTAATCCCTGATTGCATAAACAATTATTCATCACATTAGTTTTTTATCCAAACATCCTGTCTATTTGTGTTATTTCTACATTTCTAACCCCTAACTAACACAGTATGTCAGTCATCTTAGTAATTATGATGCTACTTTGTTTGAGTTTTATCCATCCTCCTGTTTATTATGGTATTTCAATTCCTAATTGTAATTTTATAGGATTGATAACAGTTAGAGAACCATTGATAACCATAAGGGAGTACTGGACAGCTGTTTCACCCTAGTTTGGGAATCATCGGCAGTACGAACCCACTGGGTTTCGAACCTAGGACCTTCCTGATTATAAGGCAGGCTTTTATACTATTCAGCCACTGGGAGCCTATTCAGTGGCCCATGAATTCTTACTTCTACCACCAACCAACGTCATCGGTGGGAAGTCCATCCTCACCCCCAACTGGATGCACCTCACTGGTCACGACTTCTCACTAGAACTCCGTCCTGTAGCAAGTCACTAGCCAGCATCAGATTAATTTTTCAAGAGTGGATTTGTAAGGATGTGTCTAAAACATGTTTAAACTCTGAACACGACTTATTGATGCTATTTCAACTGTCGACTTTATTCATCTATCCGTCTGAAAGCGTATTGCTTGTACGAGATATAATCTTGTATTAGAAATATAACAAATTGGTAGAAGTTGGAGTTCATAGGCCACTGAGTCAGCTTCTACTGGGTGAATAGTCTACCAGCTTGACTTGTAACCGGGAGGTCCTGGTTTGGAACCTGAATGGGTGCCATAGAGGTACAAACTAAACTGACGAATCGGCTGTCAAGTACTCCCTGGTGGTTTTTAATTGTTCTCTAACTGATATCAGTCACTGATCAAACTTAAGGTAATCTTCTGTTAGGACAGGAGGAAGACATATTATGAGTCAGTGTTTCTCCTCATTTGACCAGTTAACTAGACAATGAACGCTAACATAGATTAAAGATTATGCCATGATGTATCGTATCCAGTGGAAGCACAACTGATATAACCTGAATGACTGTATAAATATATTCAACAGCTATTTTGCAGGGATCTGACTTGTTTCATGCTTGACCGGGGATTGATATCCGTTAGGGAACCACTGGAGTATTGGACAACTGTTTCGTCCCAGTTTGAGACTCCTCCATAGTACGCAGCCACTGAGGTTCAAACCAAGAACCTAGCGGTTACATGGCAAGCTCATAGACTATTTAGCCAGTGGGACCCGATTTCAATGGCCCATGAATCTTAACTTCTACCAGTTCGTGATTTTAACGCGAGTGGCACCAGACGATACCATGACTGAGTATTTGTTCTCACCCCCAACCTGATATATCCCACTGGCTACAACTTCTCATTGGACATCCAGGCAACTTCGTTCTGTAGCTAGTCACTAGCGAGCATCAGGTTAATTTTCAAGAGTTTTTTTAAGTTTTAAGGTTCATCAGTAATTCCTTTTCCATGGAGAAATAAATGAATTTCTTCTCAGACAGTCTTCTATATCTCGATAAGCAGCATACAGTCGCTGTGTTGAAGTGTTCATCGATCTGTAAAACGAACCCAAATCCAGTCACATATTAACCCAGAGGAGAAAACAATAAGTCAATGAGTACCATTATGAATAATAATAATAATAATGGTAATAATAATAATAGTATTATTATCAATCAATCAATTACATAATAAATCAAAATTATTAACAATGTAAAGGTTTCAACGAAACAATCTATCAGTTGACAAAAACAAAAATTCAAATTCACTAAAAAAATAAAACAAGCAATCAAGTTACTTTAATGGAGCATAGTTGAAAAAAAAAGAAATACCCCATTGTGTGGATGATTTCACAACACTCGTTCACTTTGTTTTCTTCTTCTATTATAATGTGATGGATAGATAGTACATGTGTGTGTGTGTGTGTACAAACTCAGTGGAACTGGATAAGGGAATAGGAGAAAAATGAAAGTTGTCGAACAGGCAGTCGTCGGGGATGAGGTGACGTGAGGTGGAGAACAATAAAGATATACGAAAACTGTGAATGGATAAATTACGAAAAGTTGAACGAAAGAAACATTTTAACAGGAGAGAGAGAGTGAAAACAATATTGGTCAAAACCGAAAAAAAACACCTGTTCAGTAGAAAACAGTCAGTCAATTAGGCAATCAAAACTAACTGACTATAAAAAAAAATTTAGTTACTGAAGAATGTACACTTCATTTTTAGTGTATTTTTTATGCATGCAGCAAACTGTGCATATCCTGGGGTGCGAGAAGGGTGGATTGGAGACGGGGAAAGAAAATAACTTGATATGAAGAAGAAAGAACAGTAACAGTAATAATAGTAATAGTAATACTTTATCAATACACAAAATGAGTAGGAAATAGAAATTGATCTTATTACACATGTTATTGTTCTTCTTCCTTTCATTGAATTACATTGATTGGGCTGATTGTACTCATATAACAATAATAATAGCAATAATGGTTACTCATATAATGAATGTGAATATATACATGAGAAAAGCAGATATAGCACCAGCTGCTGGCAGTGTTACAAGCCAAGCAATCAAGATATTACGAAATATTCCCCAGTTGACATTATCTCTGGATCGTGCACGTCCCACGAAGACAACTGAACCGACTTTACAGTGTGTAGTAGATATTGGAAGACCAATTTTACTTGCAATTAAAACAGTCAAAGCTGAACCGATTTCAATACAAACACCACTAAAAATGAGAAGAGATAGAAAACAGAATGAGGGGAGAGAAACCAAGTGATGATAGTATATAATTTGTTTTTAAATCAATTTTCATTTTCCCATCGGCTGGTTGGACCGAAATTCCCGACCGAAAGCTGCTACCTTGACGTGGTGGTCGGGCTTGAACACCGCAATCACCCAACAAGCTATACTGGTTGAGACTTATGTCGCTTGAGGTCCTACCATGCCAGAAAGGTTGTTTGGATAGCGGTTAGACAAAAAGCAGTTACCCAATCCAATTGCTATGACCCAAACAAAATCACGAAATATCATGCCGGATCGGTCGGGGCCCGGATTAACAACGACCGCGCTTCCTGCTGCCGTGTCACAGGGCAGAAGTGATAAATATGCTACTGAGACACACTAAATAAAAAACAACAAACAAAAACAGGCCGCGTGTGACCGGCCTCAAGCAGTTGTCCCCTGGGCTCTGCGGTCACGCAACCAACTTCCACGGTGTGGGCAGCCGGGAAGTAATAATCGCCCTCACAATCCGAAATGCACGCGAAACCTCTCATCTTTGTCTTCATCTTCATCTCTATTATCTTGCCTTCCTTCTACTGATGCAACTCCTCTACTTGATGGCTTTTCACTTCCTCTTCACTCTGTGTCCACTAAAAACGACGGGAGCCAAAAACCACTACCAATAGTCTCCTAAAGCCACGCCACCAATGGACCGAAATATTCAGCCTCTGTTGACATGTCGGCGCCTTATGCGGATGCGTCGAAGATGTTTGAGGATTAGCCTGAAGCAGTTTGGTGGATGGCAACTAGCAGATGGTCACTCCTCATCTGATTGTACCTGCATGAGAAATTCAGGTACATTAGATGACCAATCTCAAATAAGATGAAATGAGCATCCTGGATTCCACTGTCAGTCATCGTTCACCAAATAACGGTGGCTCATATGGATGGTTTTCAATTGGTTATATTGTCTAAGTTGGATGGTTTAATTGCGGGGCTTTCATTGTCCATCTAGACAACATCTCCAGCGATAACTTCAACACATGTTGTCTATCAGGAAATTCAAAGCTTCAGAAGTAAACCATCCAGCTCAGAGAACACAATCACATCAAACTGATGATAGTATAATTTTAAGCAAGAGACAAAATGTCTCAGAAACTGTTCAGATTGTTCTCATGATTAATTTCCAGCTTTATTCATCCACTTCACCCTAATGTTATCTCTTCCACTGTCAACATCCAGCAGTGCTAACTTTACATACCATTCAGTAAACTGAAACTAACTCAGCCGAATAAGCAGTGAAACAGTTAATATTGGTAGACGTTTTATGAGTCAATTGGTTTCTATGCCATTGAGGCTCTATACCCATTGAGGCTCTTTTTTATTCCTTTACGTTCCCAGTGCTGGAACATAAGGCTGCACGCTAGAGGTTCGAAGTTTCGGTAGCAGTGGTGTTTTATTTTTACGGGATGGGGTTGCTAGCCTCATGCCCCCAACCTTCCCTCATCACCAGTCTTATTACTGGCTTAGCAAGGTAAAGCAGTGAGTGGGTCAATGGCCGGCGATCGACCGCCGAACCACATGAGTGGTCGGCGAGCATTCTACGGCTGTGCCACCGACGCTAAGCCATTGATTACTACTGTATACGCAGTCTATACGTAATTCAAAGACCCAGTCATATACGTTTAAAAGAGGTTTTCAATTGGGTATTACTGAATTCAGTAAGTTAATAAAAAACGCAACAATACTCCAGAATTTTCGAGAACATAAAAATACTAACTATCTATCTCATTAAGTACACTACAAATATAGTCATTCAAGCAAATAACGTATGCTAAACTTAACAGTGACGTAACAAAATTAAAAAAATAATTTGAAGTGCAAGTTTAGCACTTAAATACAGAAAATTATTTTAAGGAAGGGATCATTTGATGAGTTTTTTCTCGAAAGATAAGGCCATTTCACGCTCCACAGGGCAGACCGAAACGTAGTAAACCGCTGAGAAACGTATCCTTCACATTTTTTCAGAATGATTACTTGATATTATTTATTTATTTATTATTCTATTGGGTTGCGCGAGTGAAGCACACGGCTTAAATGGAACATCTCTATCCCATTCCGTCCCCTACAGTCCTCTCCAGCTGGGTCCACGATCATCCATAAGCGTTCATCTTCTCTTCACACGATCACCTCAGTATCACTCTCAAACAAAAGCACAACACTTTGGGATTGCAATAGATGGCTTGCATTACTCATAATGTCACTCAGCGGTCTTCTACGTGTACGATACATCACCATTTTGTTCTGCATATCTGTTGGGCAATAGGTTCTTATTTTGTTTGTCTCCGGGTTGCCTTTTGGCAATCCCCTCTGATCTTTAGTATCGATCGAAGGTAGCTGTTAGTGAAAGCCTGCACCATCCTGTTTGGTAAAGCGATAAGTCTTTGAACCATACATAAGAACTCACCGATTTCCCATTTATGTGTAAATAACGAATTTTGTTCTTTACGCTGAGTGCAGAAGATTTCCACACTGATACCTCAGTAATGAAGGCCTATCTTTCCTTTCCTATCCTGACTTTGACATCATCGCCTGAAGTTGTAACAGATGCTTCCCAAACAAGTGAAAGAAGTTACCTTTTTCAAATTTCTTCTGTTGCTTTTCATTGGAGCTTGTTGCTTTTTCATGTTGGTTACCTTCATCACCTCCGACTTCTCTATGTTCACTTGAAATATTGGCCTCGCTGCTTCCCCTGCTAACTTGTTGGTTTTCGCTTGTAAGTCTCCAAGTTATCTGGTCTTGTCTTAATCCTGTTTCCACTTCAAACATCATCTGTGATATACTCACAACAATAACTAGACGCAACACCTCCAACAACTCAAGTCAGAAAAAGATCCACTTAAAAGACAATAGCAAATAAAGTCAAATCATCCAAAAGACTAGAAATATCAATAAAAAAACCAAATTTTATCTTTAAAAAATATATGAAGCAGAAATTGACAAACCTAGATGGTGTCATCTTGGTCAAATCTTCACCCAGCGTTTGAATAACACGTCTACCCCATATCCATAGACCAACGGAAATACCAACACCACCATAGACAAGAATCCAAAGATCAGTTGGTTTAGACGAATCAACAGATTGTGTTGTAGCAATTAACCATAAGCCGATTAACGGGCCAATAGCATTACTATCAGGAAATGCAAAAAAATAAAAACAGATAAGGAAATGTGATAACATTAGCGCTTTCTACCGAAAAAAAGCAAAACAAAACAAAACAGTAAGCATGGATAAGGAGGAACTTTTAAGGTTTGAGAACTCGATTCGATTCGATTCGATTTAGTCATCGAAACTTTTATTGTGTTGTGCATGTATATATATAATCTGATTATTTTGCGAAAAAGAAGAATTTATATGCATTTAATCAGATTATTTTGTTTTCGGAAAATTAAACGAGGCAATTTCATAATTAGTATTCTATCAGTTTCCAATAATATAATGAGATACAAGTAGACTTGATTCTGCCGTTTGTGAATGTAAGTTATCTTAATAATTACAAGAAATGTGGATCTCAGTGGTTCAGCTGCGGAGTGGTGACCAACCACGCGACACGTGGTCCAGAGTTCGATCCTCGGTAGACACACTCGCAAGGCGGTAGTAGGCGAATGAGAGAGGGAATAACACGACGGCTATTGAAACTTCAAAGCTCAAAGCTTGGAGGCCTGTATTTTACTGGAAACGCAAAGGAATTAGACAGATTACAAGGAATACACACCGCTGCCTACAGAGAATATGAGAATTGAAATAGTAGAGCCGACAGTTCTGGTCGAAGTGGATTTGTTTTTTTTGGGGGGGGAGAAGGGGTATTATTATATTCTCTCTCAGCTGGATGGTTAAACTGCAAAGCCTTATTTGTCCTTCTGGACAATATCCTGAGTGCTGACTCTAATTTAACCACACACACACACACAATAACATCAAACACATGGGAACTTCATTCACTTTTGTTTTATTGGTGGATTAGTAGGGCTTTCATTTCAACTTTGTTGGGAAAATTATCACTTTCCTATTCCATGTATTCTTCCGTTAGGTAAGACAAAAACATCTTCATATATACCTATCGAATTGATGCCCTGATGTGCAGCTTAGTTCTCCATTGTTATACATTCATACATCCTTTAGATTGTAAACGTGGAGAGTGATATCGACTTTAGACTTTCAGAATTCTTCTTCGCTGGCGAAACAGCATATAAATCAACGGTAGTATACAGACGTTTAAATTTGATACAGAAGATTTGTAGCTCAGGTGGATGATTTTGGTGTGGTTGCGTTCTCTGATCTGGATTGTTAATTTGCGAAGCTTTCATCGCCCTACTAGGCGACATCTTCAGCGCATACTTCAATTTGATGAAGTGAGCTTTGAGATTGCTCCTCGAGTTCATTAATCATCTCTCCTGGTGACCTTGGATATGATTGGTTGTATTTGTGTGTTTTCACACCTTCTAGGTTACTTGTATTGTCAGTCATTGTTTCTTTGACTTGAACTTTGACCCTTTGTGTGTGAAGTTTCTCTCTTATCGGTTGATAAATTTTCTGGATCCCCACGTGTCTATTGATTGATGATTCACTGGAATGCCAAGATTCTAAAAATTCACTAGCATTCTTGGTATTCCCTCTATCTAATATTTGAACATTGTCCCAATCGAATTGGTGCCCGTGGTTGTCTGTATGTAGTGATGTGAGGGAGTGGATGTCATGTCTTTTGATGGCTAGTTTATGTTCGTGGATACGAAGACGAAGGGGACGTCCACTTTGGCCGATGTAGTGTTTTCGCAGTTGTTGCAATTTATTTTGTAGATGATGTTGGTTTTATCTTCTTTCGCTGTTGAGTCTTTTGCTTGACATAGAACTGAGTGAAGTGATTTTGTTGGGTGTTTGTGACGTCAATTCGTAAAAGTTTGAAGAGTTTTGCAGTGATTTCTGAAATGTCCTTTATATATGACAGGGCGATTTTCTTTGTGCTTTCTTCCTTGGAGGCTTTTGGTTTGATAGGTTGGCTTGGTGGTATATGTCTTTTGATGAAATTCCGTGGATATCCATTCTTTTGGAAGACGTCCATGAGGTATCTTTCTTCAATTTTCCTTGAGGTGGAAGTGCTGCAATGAGTCCTGGCTGGCCCTCTTGAATAGTGTTTGTATGCAATTCCTTTTGTGTGCTATTGGATTGTTGCTGTTGTAATTCAGTATTCGGTCTGTGTGAGTTGATTTTCTATAAACTTGGGTTTCTAATTCCCGCGTAGTTGTTCGGTTGACTAATCGTCTAAAAATGCGATTTTGTTCTCGGATTCCTCTTCTCTTGTGAATTTGATGCCGTTGAAGACGTTGTTTATTAAGTTGTGAGTTTTATCTAACTCGTTTCTTTTGATTATTACAAATATGTCGTCTACGTAACGTATCCAAATTTCGGTTTTGATCTTTGGTAGGATTATGTTTTCTAGCAACCAATTGCAGAAGCAGTGATGCAGTTCGTCCGTCTCAATTTGTGCAAAAACTAGTCGTAGCAATCGTCAACACAAGTTTTTCTGTCATTTCTTGAAGGTCGAGTGGTACATAAGGCTCCAGACCTTGAATTGTCAGTAACGGCGGTGTTATTTTTGCGGGGTGCTGATGTTAGCTTAGCCCCTCCCCACTATCAATCTTCCGTCTTTTCCGAGTTTATAGTTGACTACTAAACTTGGTGCGGTTTAGAAGTACGTCGGCTGACAGAAAGTGAACCCAGATTATTCGTATGGTTAAAGAGTTCTCCACTGTCGAGTCATCAAGAACAAAACAAATGGAAAACTAAAAGGCATGACTGTGGAAGCTTTTATGATGTCCTTCTATTCACTACGTATATAATATGGTCTATGGGGCTCATATATACATGTCGACTAGAAATTCACATAATCAACAAAGAAAAATTCCGGTGTTATATAAAAGAGACAGAGAAAGCGTCTAGGAAAATCGATTTCTGCCTTACTATTCAGTGAAGACGTCTCTAAAATACTGGCAACACATACATTTTAATCAATTCTTAACACAACCAGAAAAGTTAGCGATTTAAACGCTCAATTATACTCACAGGAATAAAATAAAGATAGGCTGAAATGAATGAAGCAAGCAACAAATCCACTCATCATTATTGACATTTACGAATATCAGCACGCATTTAACAGTTTCCGTTGAAGTATTAAAACACGGGAAGTTTGAAAATTTGTTTGGTTGTTTTCTGAGATATCTCCTTCTGTCTCTCTTATCAATTAAAAGTATCAGATTTCACAAAATAAAGTGTGAAAATCAGATTATTCTGGTGAAAAAACTGATACAATCATGTACATACTGTTGTTTCTAAGTTGAACACTTAAACTTAAATGTTGTCAAGGTAAACAAAAGCGATTTTTCGCCATAATGGATTGTTGTAAGTGGCATTGGGTTACAACAGTTAGTAGACCATATCAATCTACATAAATATGCTTCGTATTATTTGATAAAAAAGAACTCCAAGAATAGACAACTGCGCTGAACGCACGACTTATTTATATGTGCCGCCCGGAACAAACTGGATTCTGAAGAAGCAAATCGTGTGCGAATCAAATGACAACTCTATCGATCAGCATCATTACTGAACAGACCAAAGAATGGGAGTCAAATGTTTACCTTCAACTTCCTCAACATTGACAGCGTTGACCGTGAAGTAATTTGAAAGCTACTTCAACACCACGAAGTACCGCAAATCCTTATCAGCCTCATTCAACAGCTACGTATCTGGTGATCCACAACGGAAAACTTAGTGAAGTGAAGACAGAAGTAAGAGAAGACTACCTGCTATCACCGATGACACTGCTGATTGTGGTGAACTGGATAATGTAACTCATCGCACGTAGGGAGCGAGAAGGCAGGAATACATTGGGCCGGTTAGAAGACTCTAGAAGACCTGGACTTCGTGGGCGACTTATGTCTAATACCGCGAAAATTCAAAGACTTGAAGACAAAAACCAAAAAGGCAGCAGAAGAAGGAGAGAAGTCAAGGCTTCAAGTGAATATAAAGAAAACACAGGTGGTGAAGATAACCAACCTAAATGAAGTAGTAGTCACTATCAGGGGCAAGATCGAAAAAGCAAAACAGGCTTTCGTCACTTTGAAATCCGTGTGGAAATCTGCAGCACTCAGCATAAAGAACACGATTTGGATTTTTAACTTCAGTGTCAAGTCAGTTCTACTTTATGATTCAGAGACACTGAGAGTGTGTCACCGAAAGCCTCCAGACTTTTACCAGCAACTGCCTCCGCTATCTCGATAACTGAAGATCAGATGACCGGAAAGGAAGTGGCAGCAAGAAACTTTGTCGACACACCAGCTGCGAACCTATAGCTCAACAGTTATGGCGAGGAAAATAGAGACGGACCAATGACACCGAGCATCAGGCCACCACTCGATTGTTACTCGAGTAGGAAACAACTTGTTCGGCGTTCGTCCAAGGGTGAAAAGGAGGAAATGAGAAACTACGGGCAATCGACAAACCTGCTAAAGAGGACCACAGAGAATAGGACAATGATGCTCTATGTTCTACTCGGAACTCAAGCGAATAATAATGATTATAATAATAATAATACAATATTCAACATTTAATCTCATTAACTGGATATTTAATTTTTTCACACCAGATTTAACACCATAAAAGTAGAAAAACAAGAGTCTTACAACTGTAAGCTTATACGCGTATATGCAATGCACATACCTGACATCATTACCACCATGAGCAAATGAACCAAAAACAGCAGTTAGAATTTGAAGAGATGAAAAGACCTGGGCTTCAGCTGGTCGATCCTTGATTAAATCAATCGGTTCTGGTTCCTATTATTATTATTGAAGGAGAAGATGAAAGGAGTAAAGTCAAAAAGTGTTCACTTCCTTCTCCTGAATTACAATATTTAAATGAATGATTGTGATGCCTTTCGGTCAAAAAAGAAGCGTGACGGCTGATCTACCTAGTACACAGAAATCCTATAAGTAAAATCTAAAAACCTTTAGTCAGATAGAGGAAGCTCCTGTGTTTCACCTAACAATCAATGTGGAGTCTAGACTAATGAGTTGAAAAGCCGATTATGGAATCCTGGTTTTCGTTTGTGCGTAAAAGGAAGAGAAACATGCTACGTTCGTGGGATAGGTATTAAGTGCTTAAACATCAAACATCCTATTGAGGCAGTACTGCTGGATTAAGTCCACATAATCCGAATATATATATATATATATATATATATATATATATATATATATATATATATATAAGAAACTTGAAACACGCAGGTTTTTGACTTAGTTATCTTCTCTTTCCCAACTTAGAGTACACAACTAAGGTAAAATCATCCACATGAGCTAAAAATCTTCTCTATTATTTCACATGAAAGTTTTAATGATATTTCTGCGTACATATTTGAAGAAAATAGTAATGCCACAAATTACATATAAAAGATTGAATATACAGATATATTATTAAATATTCAGCTTTTCCTTAATTTTATCATGACATGAGAAAATTAGATGCTTAATCCATGTCAACTTCTCGAAGTGCCGTTCACAACAGGAGTAATTTCAGCCACAAAGTTACAGGATTTTTAATTCCATTGAGAGCTTGTCTTTCAATTGCATTTTAATTGGTGCATAAAATTTCTTAGTATGTTCAAGTTTACTTTTGAGATGTATCACGCGCAGTGTAGACGTACGTAAGAGTGGCACCCAAATGGGAAACGAAAAGTGTTGAGTGTCCGAAAACTGCGTGGAGGAGACGAACACCTATTGGCGACAGTAAAACCAATTAAAAAAGGAATTCAGGGAACAGGATGAAGTGCAGATATGCTGCCGAAGCCCTATGTTCCACTCGGGACCAAGGAAGAATAATAGTAAATGATGGCATTACCTGAATGATAAGCCCAGCAAATGAAAACAAATGTCACCCATATTTAACCTCTTATAAGAGTTGTATCATGACTAGACTTGAAAACTTCATTACAGATGACCTTAATACGAAATGAGAAACTTGCAAATATGCCTCATTAAAGTAGATGAATAAATCGAGCCCATTGACGATGAAACTTAACAACGGAATACCATACCACAAGTCAGAGAACACTTATCTGTACAGCCATATGGACATTATATCAGAAGTTATACATCCTATAATCCTTATCCAGTGGCTTATAATTCCTCAGTATGTCCTGAAAACCGTCTAGCAGGGAATTAAATGCACATAAATACTTTGATAGTTTCAAAAAGTGAAAAAAACAAAAACAAAAAACAGAAACGAACCACTAAGTACAACTACTCACCTCACCGATTGTAGCCAGATTAGGTGGAAATGTGACATTCATTTTACCATTATTTAGCGTATGATTGCTATCATTGTTTAAGTATTGTTCATTTGCTGAATAAGCTACAACCATGTTAAGTTGATTGCCTTTACGAGCAGCCTTCTTATCTCCATTGCTCACTTCATCGGGTACACTTGGTTTAACTTCAAAATCTATTATTTATTTAAATGAAATGATAACGATGAAAGAAGAAGAAGATGAAGACAGTGTAAAATAGATAAAACTCAAAGTAATAATATATGTGTAGAACTTGGGCACTGTGGTAGTAAGTAATTCCATATTAGTTTGTTTATTAGATATATCACACAGTGAAACAGTATTATTTACTGGATGACGAGGTTTCGAACAAAATTTATTACTGTTCATAATCATATCAATTATAATCACACGACTTCGAAACTTGAGTTTTATAGATTTCTTTGTCTTCTCCTATTTCTCGTAGGGGTATTAGAATTTTCCAGATGTCAGGCTGGACAGTTGTTGAATCATTCCTATTACGTGTATTTGCAATTGATTCAATAAACAAAGCTTCTGTTATCAATCTCTCCCTGCACCCTGCTGGCACATTCCATTTTAAAACTGTAATCCTATCCCATCCTATTGTATGGTTGTGTGTAATTGCATGAAGTGAGTGGTACAGCTGAACTATTCTCTAGATTTCTTATATTATTTGGGTCAACCAATCTAGATTTTGCTAAGTTTTTTTGTTCAGCTAGTCTGACTGCCCCTGTTCTACTAGTTTGACCTATGTATGTGACCTGACAATCATTGCAAGCAGGGTATTAGATTAAGTAAATTGTTTTGTTTTAAAGGCTCCACAAGATCCTTTAACCGACAAAGCTTGTTTCTAATTGAGTTTGTGGGCAGTTTGAATGCCAGGTACTTTTATTCCTGCCTTGGTAAGAATTCTGCGTAAGGCTTCCAAGGTTCCTTTCTTGTATGGAATTACTACTGATGATTTAGATTCCTTATTGTTGGTGTCGTCATTATTATTATTATTGTTATTATCACTATCGCTACTATCATTATTTATTTTATAAATAAATCTAGATTGGTTGATCCAAAAAAGATAAGAAATCTAGAGAATAGTTCAGCTATAGCACTCACTACATGCGATTACACACAACCATACAATAGGATGGATGGGAGAAGATGACAGTCTTAAATTCTAATGTAACAGAGTGGAGGCAGAGATTGATAACAGAAGCTTCGTTTATCGAATCAACTGCGAACACATGTAAAAGGAATGATTCAACACCTGTCCCAGATATCTGGAAAATTCTGCTACCCCAACGACGACAAATAGGAGAGAACAAAGAATACCATAAAACTCAAGTTTCGAAGTCGTGCGATCACAATTGATATGATTATGAACAATAAATTTAGTTCGAAGCCTCGTCATCCAGTAAATAATACTGTTTCATCACTGTGGGATATATCTAATAAACAAACTAATATGAAAAACTCAAAGTAAGCTATTTAATAAATAGCACGCTGTCAATTAATCTAAAAGTTTACATTGTTAACATTATTTTTGTGTGACATACAAATCTGAAATCAAAGCATTCCGGATACATTTTGAAATGACTAATATCTATCTATCTGAGCCAAAAAAAAGATTCATTATCGCTGGCGTGCTTTTCTCCTGTCTGAAGATTTATCATTGAGATAAAGCTTTAAGTCATATGATTTGATATATGTGAAAATAAAAATTATTCTTCAAAAATTCTAAAAAAAATGAACAGCATTTTACTACTTTTTTCTGAAGCTAACCAATGGTAATATATAAGTTAAAAACTTTGCTTATTGTATCCATATTTAAAGCGTTTACTAAAGTCCTTAATTAGAATAAAATATAATTTAATATAATATCCGAATATAAACATATATGAAGCTTTGTTGGTCATGAACTAGATTTACGCAGTAATGATAAGTGGAACAACATGACTTATTGAAACAACAGACTGATTGTTGAGAACAAAAACTCTCTAAATTTTGTCACATGAAATGGAACATTGAAGACAGTCAAAAACATAGAATAAAAATAATTAAGAGAAGTTTTAATATTTCCATGGTTAAAAGTATTTATCATAACAACAACAGCTATGATTTGGTTTATTCCAAAACAGTTCTTATCATATAGTGTGGAATTCTCAGCATTTCGTACAATATTGTATCTAATTTACTCGACAACAGCGAAAACAAAAATAAAATTACAGGGTCTACGTAACCAGGATTGATAACCAGAACGACTTGTTGACCTTGGCGGCCTGTTCGAATTTTTGGGCCAGCAATTATAATGTCTACAGATTGTATCAAGAAGTTAAAACATTCTGGTATAACCCAACCCTTACTCCTACAATTCGTTCACTCTCGCATTCTGCCTATTATTCTCTATTGTTCCCCCTTAGTTTTTCCAGGGCTACTGAAGAAAGACTATACCTTATTACGTAGGGTGTTAAAGGTTGTCAGCAGAGTAAGCAACGTGCCACTTAACCAGCTTGTTTATATTCTGGTTGACAGGCACATGGACTCATGTGAAAAATGGGCCAAATCCATTTTGTCTAACTCACACCACCCTCTTCATTCACAACTCTCCCATTGTATCTCATCAGGCAAAACCAGAAGCCTATATAGAAAACTATATGCTTGCACCAGCAAGCACAAAAACTCAACCATACCCCACTTAGCTCGTTTTCTGTGCGATAAAGAAAGCATTAGGCGTGATATTTATAACTTATATAATAGTCAGTAGAACAACTGGATCTCGTCTTTCCAACTCATATCATTTATAGGTACAACGTTCTCTTTCTTTGTTTTCCTTTTCTCTCTCTTTTTTTCTGTTATGTGCTGCTTTGTTTCTCTCATCCTTACAAACTCTATTTAAAACATTCTTCTTCGTTCTTTTGTGGTGAGTGCTACTTATAATCCGATATAAGTAGTATATCAGGAACGAAGTAACAACATGTTTGGCACACTGGAATAAGGCAAATTATTATTACTATTTAAAAAAAATAACTGGCTTTTGGTATTAGCAGTGGAAATATCGTCAAAAATGTACAAAACGTGAAAAATGATGATAATAGTGTTTATAGGTAAAATTATAAGTTAATTAAAATAAAGTGTCACTATAGATAACAAAGGGGAGAAGATAAAGGAGCTAGTTTATTTCGCTAATTACACAGTAAGTTCCAAGTTTCACGCTTAATACTATCTCTGTCCTATAGAACGCTGGCGGGTTAAATAGGGTGTAGTTGAATTTTTTGTACGTAGTTTGTGCGAGTGAACATATAATCTCTTATAATGACTTCTAGTCCTATGTGTTTCCTCAAGAACTTAAATAAATTTTTGCCAATGAATTATAAAAATTTCTACAGAATGTCTGTAGGTAGGCCTGCCACAATAAAGTTGATTAAAACTGTGAAGAACAGATGTATACGAAGAACATCCATATCAAAAATGGATACAAATTTAATCTACATACTGACGGTTAAATCTGAAGTTGCTTTCTCCTTCTGATGATTAGTTGTTTCTGCTTCTAGATGTCTGAAAAAAGTTACTGATAAAATTAATTTTACTTGTGGTTGAAAAATCAAAGAATCGGCAGTCAGTATTGGTTAAAGCCTACTACGTTCTTCTTGAGCTAGTTAATTCGCAGATATGTAGTTTTTGCATATATCTCAGTGGAGTAGTCTGCTGTGGTCCTGTACAAGTAATGCTAGGCTCTTTATTATATTTTTAGAGTTCTGGGGATTTCGATAGATGTTCTTATATTATCAGTCATTCTTCTTCTCACGACTATTTTTTTTTACGACTCAGCATCATGTTCTTACGGTTCACTCAGTTTCCACTCTGTTGTGAATTATTTTATTCTTAAATTTTATGCCCAGCTGGGCATCGTTTCACGCCAGTTTGCCCATTTCTTTTGACTACTTTCTAATAAACTCACAGAAGTAGGACTTAGAAGAGATGGTCTCACAAACTCGAAGATTATTTTTCTATGAATAATAATTTGCTTTATCCCAAAACAGTATTTATGATACAGCATGGAAATTTCAGCGTTTGGTACATTATTCCATCTGATTTACTCAAAAAATCATTAAATGGTAATAGGTAACAGAAGTTGATGATAACAACTTTTTTTAGCTTTAGCAATAACAATAAATTCAAAATATACAAACAGCATAAAATGATAATAATATTAAAATTCAAAATAGTGTCACCATAAATTACAAATAGGAGAAGATCAAAGCGCCATTTATTTTGCTAATTACATAGTGTAATTTATAAGTCTCATGCTTAACACGATCTCTGTCACATGGAACGCGAATGGGCTTAATAGGTTATCGTTGAGTTTTTATACTTAGCTGTGCGAGTTACCGTATAATCTTTTATACTCACTTCTAGTTCCTACGTGGTGAGATGCAAGGCGGGGAGATTTTTGGATAGAGAGGGTGTTGAGAGTTAAACAATATGGATTTAGACCACTTCTCGGAGGAGTTCAGACGTTTGTCGACTACAGTAGTGACGAGCTGACTTAGTAGTACACTGTTTGTCCTACTGGAAACTTTTAATATAGTCTTTTTGGAATAGCCTAAGAAAGACTAACGATGGAGCAACAAAGAACAACAGGTAAGATGTAAGAGTTGACAGACTGAAGAAGTAGAGGTTGAGTGATTTGTAATCGTTTTAACTTCTTATGTAGTCGGTTAGACAAAATATTTTCTTAGAAATCGACATGATATGGGACTATGAAAAAAGGCTAGAGGATAGAACTATCTCAAGATACTTTATTCTTGAAGTAGTTTCTATTTCAGTGCTCTGTGTGTTGCAAGCATCTTGTGAATGGACCAGTTCGTGTAGATCAGGTTTATGCCTGAAGGTGAAGTCAACTGTCTGACAATTAGAGGGTTTTAAAGTAGGACTATTTAGCTTAGACCAATAGCCTTTGTCCGACAAGAAGCCATTATGTTTGGCACAGTCAGATCGGGACGTAACTGGCAGCAAGGCAGTTAGATCAACATTCGAAAGATGGCCAAGTTAAACTTTAAGCACTTCAATCACCGAATGACCTTGAATGGTCAATGAGTTTCACCCACGTGAGTTGAAGGTTCTGTTCCGCTTGATTCGAGTCAAATGTCAGGGAAGGTAA